CTGGATTAATCTGAAGCAGTCATTTCGTATGGTCTGGAATGAAATTTTCTTGCAGTATCGGTGATAAGGGGATACTTCATGCATTTCTTTCAGAAAGAAGACAAACTTTTTAGAAGGAGAAGTACAAAATACAAGTGATCAAAAGAAATATGCCCCTGGTCGTATGATTAATGCACGTACGTATGGGCTTTGTAACAGACATAATATACTGTAATGTAACTATGTCATTGGTATACTAATCTGAGAAGTTTACTGTTGACTCAGAGAATCACAGGTTTCGTGTTGGAGGTTCGTACTCGGTAGAGGCCGAGGTCGCAGAGCTCGGGGGAGCGGGGAGGGCAGCCTGCGCCCGCAGCAGCACGGAGAGGCTCAGGCCCGGACTGCGGCTGCAGGATTAAAGGTTTCGGAAAAGAAGATCGGAACAAAGTGGAGGACAAATTGAAAAACATTCATCAAAATGTAATACAGACACAGTTTAAACTGGATCGGCTACCGTTCCTCTACCACATCCTACCAATTCTTCATTTTATTAGCCAGAAAAGCACTAACGCTTTCCAGTCTGAGGGTTTTTTGGCTTTGTTTTGTTTAATCTTTGAATCTCTCTGCAGGAGATGATGTCTTTTCTTGGCCACCTCTTCCACCCTCCACAGCGATCGATGCAGGAACTTTTAGACAAGAGTAACACTGAGCTGATGATTTACATAGAATGATTTACAGCCTTCTAGATGAAGCAGCAGTTTTTAATTTAATTCAGTATCAGCTAACTTTTCTAAATTTACAAACAGGAAAAGCTTAAAGAACCTCACCCAACTTGTGTCCTTACTCACAAGCACTCTGCCTTAAGAGGCTAAGGGCGGCACACGAGCGCGACCCTGCGAGGAACGAAGGCTGCTCTCTGACGTGAAAAGCATTTTCAAAAAACAAGTTTCTGTACAATATAAAAACTCCCCAGTAAAATCCCAGTAAGGCAAGAAGATAATTTCTGCTTATGATTCTATAGCACATTGTAAAAAAGTTACAGTGGCAACCGCTTGTCCTTTCCCATTTTTGTACATTTAATATATTCACTGCAACGATTATATTCAAGTCATATTTGTATTTATAACACGTCACAACTATATGCAAAGACGTTTTTCTTTCTTGGTGCCATTCTTCATGACGTCATATCATTCTTGTCCCGTCACGCTCAACAATGCACCATTTAAAGGCTTAATGTCCCATTCATTTGAATTCGCTGAAAAACTGTTTTCCAGACCTGATTAGTCTGACAGTAGCAAAGTTAATGTTTTCCTGGCCAATTAAAAAGGAACTACTTACACGAGGATGCTCACAAGGCCACGTATTCTTGGATTAAGTTATTTAAACAGAGTGCCTTGAAAAGGAATCCCAGCTAACCCATCCGACACAAGGGCAAATTTAGTATTTCCTCTCCCAAAGGAAGCTAACCACGGGATGTCCGACAAAGGGAGAAGTGCTTGGAATGCAGAGGATAAAAAGAACTCTAAAAAGTAAATTTATCGTAAATCATATTAAAACGGGTGTGTAGGGAGGGGGAAAGCCCACTCATTTACACACATTTCACAGAATCACAGAATGTTCAGAGTTGGAAGGGACCTCTAGAGATCATCTAGTCCAACTGCCCTGCTAAATTTAGATGCTTTTACAGAAATACATCTATTTTAAGGAAAATGGGAATTGTAGCATAGAAGAAAAAAGACAATCACCGACTTAAGTTTCAGGCACTTGAGCTGCACAGACTGTAGAAGGTGCCCATCAGATACGTTTAACATTCACACACACGCGTACACCTGGGAACATACCCCAGAATGCGTAGGAAAACAGCCATTAAGGCTCCCTGGGGAAAAAAAAAATTAAAAAAATGAAGCTATGTAGATCCCTGTTTGCATTTCCCACCTTTCCTCACAATTCAAAACCTGCGTAACTCTCAGATCCCAGAGGCAGCATATTGTAGAGCTGATTTAACAAGTTTATTATTTGCTAAACCAAAGGAAACATTTTAACTACTAGATTATTGAAATATGAGTTACTGTGGTATTTATTTTTTGCTAGTAAAATGGCATTCTGCAGCATAAACTTCAATAACCATTTTTAAAGACCCCTCCCTTTTCTGTATAATATCCTAAGAATAAATTTCATCAAGAACAAAGGCAAAGTAATCTTAAGCTTTAGCTGAAAGCCAAAGCAACTCAACACACAGAGGGTGAAAACACAAAAGCAATACAAATCGAGGTCATGACTCATGTAAAGACAATCACTTCCAAACAATAACGCGTGAAGTTGAAAGCAGCACTGATGCAAAGTTCACTTGCTTTGCTATGGACAGAGTGGTGAGAAAAATGCAAATTGTCCTCCAGGCAAAACAAAAAAAGCTGTAAACAAGGAGCACATACAAAAGGGGTTAGCGTGTTCAAAAGCGTGTCTGCTCTTCTCCAGCCCTACTAGGTGACTAAATTTTAAAAGCATTTCTGACATTACACAAAAGGCAAGGTGTGTAGAAAACGACCGTCAGAGCCACAGCACGATCGTGAGGGTATATACTTGTATATTCCTCTGATGTTCATCTCAGTAGTATCTGAGCAAACACAGTTGTTCTCATGAAGAACCTTCAGGCAGACAAACTTTCCTACAGCTCCTTCCACTGCGCTGCCTGGACAATGCCATTCCGCTTCTGCTACGCTTTGCTGCACTTAACGCACCATCACACGCAAGGTGAGAATTGGGAATCGCCACCTCTGGTGACAATGGGGTGACAAAGAGTTTCCCAGCTACTATCGACAAAATCCATCATCCTTAGAGACTGCAAATCCAGCACTTAAATGAAGGTGTGTCTTACGTTGATTCCTAAGCCCCAGTCAAGAACACAACACGCACGCGCTGCGTCAGTTAAGCGTTGGCCACCACTGAATTCTTGCTATGAAGCGCACATCTGCCCGCTCAACACTCGGATCACAGAATCGATAGAAAAGGCGACTCATCGTTATACGTGACATGACACACACCTTTTTTGTAGTTGGGTTAAGGCTGATCGCTCACCGCCCAACACCCAGACAAGGATTTGCTCTTGGGCGCAAAAGACATTGTTTTAAGAGGCAGTCTTCCCGCCTGCAGTTATGCCCAAGTCCCTGCCAGGGTCCGTCGCCACTTGTGAAACAAAGGTGAAGTGAACCACGCAGGACCTCAGAGGCCACAGAAAGTGGAAGTGGCCAGGACACTGAGAGGGAAGAAGAGTAAACCTAAGTTTACTTATGCGTAAACATAAGATGTCTGGTCGCAACATCAGCCATACCTGGAAGAAACCACCATCCTTTCATTGCACGGACATCCGAAGTCCTACAAATTTAAGCGAAGGAGTGAACAGCAAATTCCAGCAAGAAGCAGATATCAGAATAACGCTCCACGGTTTTTCTTTCATTAACAGCAACAGCTCGTTTTCTTAAAAACAAACGAAAACCCAACACGCACAACCTCTGCAGGTTCAGGCAAAAGGATGCAGTATTTAACGACACTAAAGCAAAACATTTTAAAGGGATGAAAGGGAAGACATAAGACTCAAAACCCAAACGCTCAGGTTTATAAGCAAGTCTGCTTTTTCTTTTTTAAGACTAGAAAACGTACAATTCCATTTCATATGCAAGTGTGCACAGAGCTCATTTCTCGAAGATACTATCAGATAAACTGAGAAAGTCTTTGCATTAAATTGTTATTTCTTCAAACATTTATACATTTTGCAATACACCAGTTAAATACCGATATCTATGTGCATGCACTATAAATATATGCATGTACACATTAAAATGTTTAACAAAGACAGCAGATTCCCTAGCCAGTGAGCATCATAAAGAGATACCAAAAATATATTAAAAAGTTAAATTCTTTACCTGCCTTTGTTAAATACAGACTTTTGAAATTGCCTCCCTTCTTTTCCCCACAAATTCACACCATGATCCCCAGCGAAGCAGGCAAACGGGAAGGCCGGTGCGCCGCCTAGATTATCCCATAACCAAAGATAAGCACCTTGAGAAGTTCAAACTAAGCTTTTTCTTTAAAACGTCTTCTCCATCCTTATCAGATGCACGAGCTAAGAAAGGGAAGGACATTTTAAGCAAAGTTTTATTTCATTTTGCTATACTCCCCAAACATACATCTCCAACATAAAAGCCTATGGTTAAGGCTACGTACACTTTCACAATACTGACGACATCTCAACCCGTCCAACTGCCATCCCACTGAAAAGCCTGTGTCCTTTAAAATGGTAACGCTGAACAGCTTCGGTACAGGACATCCGTCCCAGTAGGTACTACAGTAAGAAAAGATAATCACATAGTGTCCTGACACTTCCTTATAACTCACCTGGGGACCATGCAAGGGAGTTATATTTTCAAGAAGTACTGCCCCGGAACTTCTGTGGGGAAGTGATCCAGGGGTCGCTTACAGCCTTTCAAGTAGTGTAATGCGTTTTGTTCCCCATCCAAGTTCCATCCATTGCATATAGATATATATACATTTTATGCTATCAAAGAGAAGTGTGCCTTCCTCTGAAAAACACTTAATAAAGAGTATGACTTTTGTAAGATTCCAGTGGGACTTTAAAACGTACTTTTGTGCCTCTTCTTTGGTTAAGAAAAAAACAAACAAAAAAAAGAGATGACATTTTTCCCTTTATGACAGCTAAAGGTACTTCTCCTAGACTTGAATCACAAATGAACAGTACTGCAAAAAAAAGCAAAGCAGTACCATAGGACAGCATGACATGAACTTTTTGGGAATCACCTAATCCAATGATGACTACCATAAAAAAAGAAAATCCGTCTCCTGTTAAAGTCTTTGGCAAATTCTTACTGTTTGCCGACACTGTAATTTAAAGTTCGATCCATATGCCCCGATCCATCATGGCATCCTCCCTAACTGAAAAATCACGTGAGAAACAAGCAACGGTCTTAAGAGAGAGTTTGCTTTATAAAGTTGTGGTGAGCCAACTGTCTGATGGATGTTACAGCCACACAGGTAACAAAGGAGAAGAAGTCGTGACACGTTGGCGATGTCAAATATTAGTACTACTGTCAACATACTGATTCAGCTTTACACACTGGTCTGAACAGATTGCAATTAACCTAAAATTGAGGTATAAATATACACAAATATGTACAGTACACATACAGGAAAATATTTTTGCATTTGTAACATCGGTAACTTTAAAAATACTGGAAAGTTGATATCTATGCCATTGATTTGTTTGCTAATTTACTGGAATAATGAAGCCAACATCTTCAACTAGAGAGGACTACAATGGAATAATAAAACTCAAAATTAAAAGCTCCTTCCTCTCACTTCATCTTCACCACGCCCAACGTCGGACTGTTCCAGGAGGCTGTATCTTGCAAAGACAGTTGATCACAGCTTTTAAATGCATCCTCAGAGGAAACCGAACAGGAAACCAAACCGGAGCCTCAATGCATCTTTCTTTTTGCTGAATGGTCTTAATTTATATACACGTATGTGTGTGTGCATCTATGTAGAAAATAAAGTTGAAATCAGTTCAGTATAAATACATCTAACCCATTAATTCTGCCACTGTGAAGGTAATCATGGGTACAGCTCTTTTTAAGCAATGTCTGTGCAAAGAGGTCATTAAAAATCATCTGATCTTAAGTCTTGACATCATCCATTCAAGTCCTTGGCACAGTCTGTAAAGAAAAGAGATAATTTTTAAGGAATACATGCACTTCGCAGGGTAACTTCAAAGATAATTCCACGGCACCAATTAATTTCTTCCTAAGAACTCTGCAATTCTGACCGGAGGGATCATTTCCAGAAACGATGCACTCCAAGCGCAGCATTTCCTAGATCTTATTATGCAATCTATGGCTGAGAGACTTCAGATCCCAGCACTTCAAGATGTATACTGAAGTTTTCTCTAATTATGATTATTCTTAATAAACCAGAAGAGATTTTAGGTCGTTCCCACCCCCGCCCTCATTAGGCCCAAATCATACGAAGTTTTATCCCTGTGAGGCGAGACTGCACATTTAACATGAAAGTTGGTTTTCAGATCCCACTGATCCTAAGTCAGTATGTTCTGAGCCCAAAAATCTTTAAGTGTAAGATTGTTATTGCCAGGGAAGGAACGCGTGTTAAACCCAAACACCACAATGAAAATACCCCAACAAATCAAGATTCCCCTCCCACAGACGACAGTCCCTCTTACCCCTCTCCAGTTAGAGCACAGCACGCCTGAATGTGCCACTGGTGATCCTTAATTGAAGTCAGTTTCAGAAACTGAGATATTTCAGCTACTGTCATACACTCTTTAACATCCTGCTTGTTAGCGAAGATCAGCAAACCTGCTTTTTTTAAGTCCTAGGGAGAAAGAAGGAAAAAAGATGATTATTACAAATGAGCCCTCAGATGCAAAGATGTGACACCAAACTAGAGAACCTTAAGCCCTGGCAAAAACCCCTGAACTGTGAAACACTGCAGGAACTTCAGAAAACCCTTTGATCCACCAGATCAAACATCTAATTTTTGCCTAGGATGAGCTGTAAAACTACGTAGGGTATTTTGTTGTGCTCCGTGAGGCTCAGAGGCACCCTGCATGTGCGCGCGCACGCAGTCGCAATAACGCCACACGCCTCCTCAGCAGCCACGGCCGCCCCAGTAACACTGCCCTCGCAGGTCAGTGCCGCCTGCGTAGCCAAACCGACCTCCGCATTCTCCCGAGCCTGCCTTTTCTGTATACGCACACCACGCTTTTACCTATTACCCCGCTGTTAAGATTGATTTTGGTACCAAATGTGCAGCAGTTCTTACACGGGGCAACAGTGGGTCACCCCACCAGAAGGTTTTAAGCCCTGGTAAAACCTTGCCAAGGCTGACCGCGGCAGGCGCCAGCAGCGCGCGTGCTGGCACCCAGCCCGGCACTGTGGCTCACCGGAGCCAGAAGGACGCTCTGCCAGCGCAGCAGCTCTCGGGAAGGGAAATCCCACCCATTAAGAAGCTTTAAGACTGCCAGCGATGGTGTAAAGCAAGCTGCAGTAATATTTTATTTAGAGGATACACAGACTTCGTAAGAAATCATTGCTCGCGCTGCTTCAGAATCCAAGGATGGACATCTACTTCAACAAGCACATTGCAACAAACTTCTTTCTAAGGCCTATGTAATATTTAAAACATCAGTACTAACGATTTAGAAAACAGCGACTCTAGAGGCAAGCTTATTTTATCTCAAGCTGCTTGGAATTACACTAGTATGGGCATGTATTATTGAAAATCCGCGCCTCTGAAAGGAAAAAGGTCTTCCCAGGAAGCCAAGACAACTCATTCACTTAAATGCCTATCAGGCACACTAATTTTTACAAGCTGTAAAATTAATTCCCAAAGATCTACTGGTCCAGAAAAGAGTTGGAACCGACCTGGGCAACTCAATTTTGCCTTAACGAAAATTCAATTGAACTGGTTATCAGAAAGAAAGTATTTTCAAGGACTGCAAGGAAAACCTATTCTAAATAAATATTTGACTTTCACTTCAGCTTATATGTATTGTTGTTCTCTTCAAACGTCACAGCATCTGGAGAGCTAGCAGAATATACTGAAAACATCCTGTTGTAAAACAATGGGCACATTTACTGTTAGACGGGTTCTTTCAGAGCACAGAAATATTTGTCTCCCAGCACGAAGCATTCTTGCTGCTTGGGGTTCCAGACTTCCCTCATTTCAAATTCAGTTCGTTAACAACGTCCGCATCTTCCTTTATAGATTACAAGGCAGAAGATGCAGATTTTGTTTAGCAACTGCAACAGACTGAAGAGTACATCTCTGAAATGTTAATTATGACAGCAGCAAACCCAATGGCAATACTCCCCCCGTGCCACATTTAACATTCCACCACAACCAAGAAAGCCAGACCTACTTTATAAGAATTTATTTTATTAAACACAATTTTAATTTAAATACCAAAAATTATAAATTCAAGACACTAGGCAAAGCACACGGTTTTTTCTCAAATGCTTCAGATTACCATGATCCCTCAAAAGAAATACATAGGCAGCCTTTGCCCTTCCTGCAGTCATCTACTAAACAGCGGCTACAGTTTAAATATAGATGGAATATTTTGGGATATAATGCCATCAATTTTATGCACGTCTTTGTATTCTGACACTTCAGTTTGCAAGCTCAGTGTTATCTCACACAAACTGATCCAGTTTGCACTAAACTTCTCTTATGAGTCCCACCAGTAGTTAAGCTTATATAAACACATCTTCAGCAAAGATCAGGGCTCCGGTCCGGCAGCACTGCACGGATAGATTAAAGTCTTTGGGACATTCAGGTCATGCAATAGGTGCTCCTCGGCTTATGCGTCAGTTCGCTAATTCTGAATCGGACCCAGACAGCTCAGTTTTAGCCCTGACACAGGGCTCAACTTTAAAAAGATTCTTTGCAAGTTAGCAAACTGTCCTCTGGTTCTGTAATTCCAAGTAGAAATAGAATGGCTATTGTAGCCATAGGCAGTCCATTTCTTCAGTCTGATAGCTGGTTGCTGTAAGACATGTTATTAAGGCTGTATCTGTTTCACTGTGAAAACAGAAAGCAACCGTGAAGCTATCAAAAACAGTAATTAAGTCGTTGGAGAAAACAATGTTTTTTTAAAACGATCTCATTCAGCTATTAACATGGATTGAAGTATAAAAACCACAAGTCATTTATAGGTCCTAACTTCTGTTTCACTGACGCATGCAGAAGTTGAAAAGCTACTTTTGTGGGAGTTCTCTTTAGTAATTTGGTACTAATTTACAACTTTATGAGGAGCTTCACAACAGACAGAGCCGCTAGCAGGACCACGACAGCTCTGCTACAGTACTACCTGCAGCTGGGAGACCGTCACTGGTGACATTTGCCTTGGGTTTCACTGGAGAGGTCTCTCTCCCTTCTGGTCTGTCTCCAGCCAGCAGGCGCGAGCCAGAGCTTTCACAAGCAGCGTGTGAAACCGCTTCCCTTAACACGTATCATCCCGATCTCACCCACAATAAAGACTAAACCAAAGAAAACATAGGGTCTACTCACCTCATGTGCTAACATTTTGTACAGCTCTTCTTTAGTCACAGAAATTCTCTCTCTGTCTGTGCTGTCCACAACAACTATCACAAACTTTAAAAAGTGAGAAGTTATTAGTCAGAGAACAAACTCCATCCTTCTGGCCACACACTTGTCAGCAGAGCAGATTACTGTTCCCATCCCATTATCCAGACAGTCAGCTGGATTGTCAGATAGCATCATATTCCAGATACACTTCTCCCAGCCGGAGCGTGATTACCCACAGCATTGGTATCGTTTACAATTTATGCTGTGGTTTGTATACAAAAGTAGCTCTGGCACATCTTTCGACTTTCCATTTTCCATTTCCAAGTGAAAAATTTATATTAATCACAAGAGTTTCTCTGTAATCCCAGATCTGCTTTTGTTCTTTGCTTAGCATAATTGAGGTAGCACACAGATCCCTCAAATAATTTGTTGCAGTGTTAAAAAGATAAAACTGTACCAGCTTTCTCCCTCAACTTCAAATACTAACATGCAAATAGATATTTGCGAGGGATTTTAAAAAACCCATAAGCTCCATACTTCGAGAGCATACATGAAGATACATGTCAGAGCATCTTATAGGGAAGCACAGGAGAACAAAGTTAATTATTATAAAAAATAACTTTTTTAAAAAACCACAACTGATATCACACAGGAAGCCTTGACTTAAATCATTATTTTAATCAAGTTTGGTATATGTTCTGCAGCTCCATCACTAGAGTTCTTAAAATTCTCGGGGGTGCTTAAGTCAATTGATGATGGGAGCTGATGAGACAGAGCTCCCACAGCCTTGGAGGAAAACTTTTGGGCTTTCAGTCTTACTCCTGAGGGGTTACCCAGGTTTTAGAGTACCCGCTACAGAGACAGGGCAGTCATGGCCCACAGGAGGGGACCTGCAAACACGGGGATCTGCAATACCAAGACAGACCGAGCACCCACCCTGCAGCCGCAGACACAGAATCCTTATAAACAAGTTCGTTTTAATTGCAGCTCCATATTATGCATCTTACGTTGAGAACTATAAAAGCGAGTCATACAACAGCTTGCTAAGGAGGAGACTTCAAAAATCAAAACAAGAGCACCCCAAAGTGGCTACGGTGACACTCAAAGCATAGTTAATGCAGCCCTCTGGCAGCGCGTCTGGTACAGATCTCGGGTACGCCGTATTCCCGTCACCAGCAACGGTTACGCTAAGACTTCCGGCAAGGCGTTCGTTCTCACCTCAGTGTTTGTATAGTAGGTGTTCCACGAAGACCGAAGGGACTCCTGCCCTCCGATATCCCACATCAGAAAGCGCGTGTTGTTAACCACTATCTCTTCCACGTTACTCCCGATGGTGGGCGAGGTGTGCACCACTTCGTTCATGGAGCTGCGGAGGGAAGAGAGCGACTCGGTGAGACGCTGCAAAAACCGGCATTATCGAGCACCGTAGGACTGCGAACCGACCCGCTGCTATAAAAACTAATCTTCATGCTTACTCCGAGGTAGAAAGCTTGGTAGGAGAATTATAGCAAACACTCTTTATGCAGCAAATAGAGACAATGTTTGACGGTGGAAGGCGAATAAAAATAAAAATAAATACAAATGGCAATAAAAAAGCTCTCAGAGAACGATATAATAAATGAATTATACAGCTGAGAGAGCATTCACGAACAAAACTATATTATAATTAATTAAATCATAAAGCTGAGAGAATATTTGCCTCAGAAGCTGTTTTAAGCAGTCAGCTTTTCTTTTTCTAGGCTGATTTTGGCACACATGGGGAGAGAGCAGTTGTTTGCTTCAAGAATGTGGTTAAGCCACAAGATTTCCAAGGTTGCAGAAAAACAAGAACTCAGCATCCAGCTCCACCAAACATACTACATCTCGCCCTCCTTCCAGTACAGGCCACAAAGAGTGTACTTTCTGCACAACTCAGTTACTTTATGTCCAAACTTTCTTCTCTCTCCCTTCAGCACAGTCCAAAAACTCTACTTTTTGGAGAGAAATACAGACATTAAGTATTTCAAATATATTGTTTTAGCGATACTGAGTGCAACTTTGTAACTGAAGTTTCACATCAATAGTGATAACCAAATGTGTACTCTGCATACTTCTAAAGTTCAAATTATTTAAACTCTACTGTATGGGAATATGCAAAAAAAAAGTAAAGCAGCTTTAAGGAAAACGTCAACCATTTTCAAAGAACTTAATTATTTTCTCCTCCAATAATCTTGATATATTTTTTTCATTTTATATGAACATTTTTTGAAGTGTTAGCAGAGCTTTTAGTTACAAGTGACAGCAATTTGAGACTTGTAACAGTGCTGGAATATTTCCTGAAGAGGTTACAGAGAACTGAGGAGATAAAGGGATGGTCCAGCGTTCTGAAAAGGAATCCCAGTTACACAGTGTCTTGACAGGGTAACAAGATACCTTCTCACCCCACACATTTGAAGGCAACTACGTAAGGGAAAGCGAAGGATTAGAAGAAAGAACCATAAAATCAAATTAAGGATAACAATGATATATAGGATGCCTGTGGCTGATTTCATATTTAAAAAACAGGTTTTAGCAAACTTCTTTTAACGCTTGGAAGAGACGTATCATGAGTCCCCTTTCCTTAGCTGAACCTGCAGCCTTTCACATTCAAGCTGCGGGTGTCTCAGTTTGCAATACGATAGGTGGATTTTTCCCTCCTCCCCATTGAAACAAGGTGAGCATGAAGCTCAACGTCATTTCTGGACACCTGATCACAAAATCCTACTGCTGCCTGAGGGGAGGGAGGAGATCTGAGTATGAGAACAGGAAGAAATGAAGTGTCTATGGAGCTGCCGTGATCTGTCAGAAGAATCGCCACTCCAACATCTGCTGTGACCCTCCACGACATCAAAGGAACAGCCAGTGCACTAACCAACACTACCTGTCCTGCTGGTTATCTCTGCCCATCTCTTAAGAAAAGAGTTAAACATATTCATTCATGCTCAGAACACTTATCTGCCATGAAGAAACGGTAAGAGAAAAAATGGGATATGCACAGACAGAGACAGGGTTGAAGGAAGAGTCAGGCAGGAGGAACAGAGGACAGTACACGTACAGAGCTCTGTCAAAGCGGCAAACAGGGGAAGGGGAATACAAGGAGAGAGAAGGGGAAGTCCTGTGGAGCTAAAACGGGTATAAAGAAAAAGGAGGCATAGAGAGATCCACTGTACAAAAGGGAAAAGAAAACACTGAGACTGCAGAAATAAGATGAGAAGAATCATGAGACATTTGTGGAGGAAGTGGAAAGACACAGGCAGCATTAAAATGCACTGAGGACAGCTCTCAGCTGCAGCAGCTACTAGACTTAAAAATTATTCTTCATTCTATTTATGCTTTTTAAAATCTCTCACTCCAGATTCAAATAACGACAACCACCTTCTTCTTTTCACTTTCTCTGCAGAGCGTGCTAGGGCATAAGGGGCTGGAAACGCTGCACGAGTTTCACGTTTCAGAAAGGCAAAAGCAGATCACAATTTGACAAAACCCAAACATTTTACGAAAGCATATTTTAAGTGTTGGGCTGGACTAGTATCACTTAACAGGAATTATTTCTGATAGTGACCCAGGAATACTTCCTAACACCAGACCACTTCACGTGAGAAATCGCAAATCTGTTTCTATTATAAACAGACCTTGAGTCGCCTGTCCCACCTAGAAGCTTCTGGGCCTGTGCACAAATTTGTCCCCTTTTATCAAAATGCAGCTGAGGACCAGAGATACGAAGCTCATACAAGTTTCACGTAAACCAGTAGCAAGGTTAACGCAAGACAAACACAAGTCAGTGCCGCTATTCAAGGCAGAAGCTGCAGAGCAACTACCAGCACTGGTGGCTCAAATAAAGCCCTGGCCAGGCAGCACGGGCTGCCACCAGCCACAGAGCTGTGCTGTCCTGGGTTCGGCCTTCCTCCTTCGTCCCCTACCACAAACGCCACGGAAGGACACCTCGGTGCGCAGCACGCAAGTCGCGGCAGGGAGAGGTCAGGCTTCACTGCTTTGCTACTCGCAGCGCAATTTGTTTAGTATTTACACGCTGCAACATGGATCAGTTCAGCAGCATTGTCCTGCAGTTAAACCTCACTATGATCACATTTTATGGAGTTGGCAAACAGCCCACCTGGTGACACCAAAGGCAGTTGTGATTAAGTGGTAATAGCAATGTAATCTGATAAATAAAAGCTCCGAACAAAACCTTATTCATATACCAGGCAAAACACAGACCTTTCCAAACTCTAAACACACGCTTTGACCCACTGCCACCTATGCTGTTCAGTAATCTTCAGCATAATGCTCTCTAAGTAAAAACTAACAAGGAAAGCAGCGGCAACAAGTCAGAGTAACATATACAACGCACACCTTGAAGTACATGAAACGTCATCTGCAGTTCATACTTACAATTGATAAAGAATGGTCGTTTTTCCTGCATTATCCAGACCAACAATGATTACTTTGTGCTCTGAAATAAAAATAACACTAGTAAGTCACATAGTTAACTTTGCTATCACGATAACAACTGTGTTATGAAACAAGGTTAGTGTTGCATTTTTGACTGACTTCCTAAGCAAACACTGCAAAACTGCAGGTGCCGCATTTCATGGGCCATACCTAAAAGCTGGTTGACCGTGGAGGTGTACAAACCCGTGCACTGTTCCGAGCAGCTAAGCGACTGGTCGCTTTTTCCCCATCTGCACATCTATAGGAACAATTTCTGAGAGATTACACGCTGTTTTTTTCCTTCTCTAAACCGCTAGAGCACTCTCATGCTGGAATCCTTTCCCAAACTTCCACACATTTTTGTGGATTGTAACAGACCGCACTCTCTATTCCCCCCAACTACAGTAGTTCTCCAGAACACGTGCTTACACATGTTAAATGTTCATTTCCAAGGCTGTACTTTTATTATGGCCTGCAACACCTTGATCTCTTTGCAAAGAGTTGTTAAAAACCACAGCAAGGCTGGTCTGCACTGCAAGCAGGGTGATCCACCTGGCTCCCGCAGTGCCCTCGTTTCCTTTCAGCAGGTTTGGAACCTGGAGAACACATTTGCCTACGAATATTTTGCAGTACGCATTCACCCAATTTAGTTTTAGATGAACCAGAAAGTACTACACAAAACTACTCTGACACATACGCGAACACATTCTGGAGCTCAATGCCAGAATCAATTATTGTTTCTATTTAGCACCTTCTTTCCCATACATCACAAAACTCAATTTGAATTCTACAGCTGGTGTTGTCAAGCACATTCAAATTTATGATTTCCAGGACGAGTCAGCACTGCCTGCTCTCAGCCCTATTACACAACTTTTCGTTGCACAAATAACCTTGGCTTCGACAGGACTATCTGTGCAAGTAAAAGCTTTGCGAGAAGGGGCTTTCTTCCTCCCCTCCCCAGTGGTCCACGAGGGCAACAAAAAGCCATTACAAGTCCGCCCAAGCTTCAGGCAACCAGAGACCAATTCCTTCTGTTAGCAACGTACACTCGCATTGATTCGTCACGGAGGAGAGAGGGAGGGGACAGGGGTCAGGTAAGTGGGGTTTCTTGGTTTTCATTTTATCAATATTGTGTGGTTTTGCAGAGTTTGTCTTACGTACCATCAAAGATAAATTCCAGTTTTAATAACTTTGCATAACTGCACAATATTGTAAAAATATCTGCTTACCTGACCCCACATAACTAGGAACTTTTGTTTCTGGTGTGATGTTGCCAGCATAGTGGATGTTAGGAAATCAGTTGGAACGGAAGATCTGAGGTGGGGCTGGATGCTACAAGACAAAAATATTTTGTTGTGTTTGCGCTAAGCGTCAATGGGCATATAGTTGGGACATTCAGCATGCATGTGTGAGAGTATTTAAGTTCACCCAGAATCAAATTTAGAAGACCTTATAAACACAGAGAAGAGCTTCAGCATGTTTTACAGTTAAAGCTCCGACTCTCATTAAAACCTTACTGTAAGGAGACAGGCGTTACAAATCTGAAGTTACTTTTCACGTTTGCTCCATAAGCAGCAATTTTGCCACATATGGAAGTTGATCCCTCAAAGCCATTAATAAACGGCAGATGAGGAGAGGAGGCGAGACGCAACGACACAACACAGCTGTTTTCAAATTAATAATTTAA